GTGCACAGCGCTCTCCCCTAGCAAACATGGTTCGTTTGAGGCCCTCACTTCTCCCTGCCTTCTCACAACCCCAAGCTATGTTTTTTGCTAGCTGTATCGAGTGGCGTGCATGCTTGCTCTGGTCTGGATATAGGGATTAATGGGAGGTGTGCTGGGGACAAATTAAACTGGAAATTACCCACAGTCATTTTCCAACAAATTTGGCAGCTTGATCAAAGGGAATTCAAGGAGCCAAAAAAAGGGGGTGGGGGCTGTCTGCAACTCTGGATCCATAATTTGTCCACTCTGAAACAGAACATTTGAATTCAGCTCTTCATAATATAAGTCAGGCCATGAAAGCATGACTGATTCTAGATCAGTTGTGTCATCTCAGAGGGCGGGCTTCTACCCTTGTTCCCCAGCTAGTTTTTATTTCTTTTTTGGCACACTTCCAACTAGATTCTGCACAAGTCTGAAAGCAGTCCCAGACCTCTTCATTCTCACATAGTCAGTGGTGCCTCAGAGCTAAGCTGATTTTTATTATTTTCTGTTGTTTATTTCCCCTTATTGGAGGGAACCTTTGCCTGACTTCTTCCCCCAGTTCTTGTGTTCAGGTCCTATAAGGGAAATGTTAGCTTGTCAGCTTTGCAGCTTCCCTTCAAAGTCCAAGGAAAAGAGTAAAAACAGGAATTTTGTCAGTTCCATATCATCTCCACTTTGCCATCAGAGAGCACCCCACCAGACTGAGCCCCCCCCCAACCCTTTTATTTCTTTCCCTTTGGTGTGGGGTAGTGGTGAAAGGATTCTTGTAGTTATAGGATTGCAACAGCTCAGGGCGGAACAGTGATTTTTACTCACACCTTCAAACTGTTTTTCAAGGTTCGAGGTATGAAAAGTGTGACAGTGCAGAAGCCTCCTCAGTTCTTTAATTAAAACTGTTCCTCAAATTGCTTCAATTGTTTTCTCTCAATGAATCATTTCTTGGCCACCTAAACAATTCAGTGTAAATTCATCCAGTGTGGCTAATTTTTATTCCTTGCCCCATTTCTATCCTCTACCAAGTGATTTTCGTCTTTATGGCATAATGTCTCCCTTTCTTTTCTTCAGGTCCTTTGTCCAAACTCCAGACTCACCAACCCAACACACTATTATTCTAATATTTTCCTCTTGCAGTGACATTCTGTCTAAATAATTCCTCCCTACTTTGAATAAATTGTAGACTCTTTCAATAGTACCAAGAGTTCTGTTCCTCATACAGAGCATCAGCTTTAAGGAATCACCTACCATGCTATTTTTTTGTTTCTCCTACTGATTTTGGTATTTATCACTTGTCCTTGTCTGCAGATTTTCAGGGTCTCACTCTCTCTTTAGGAAAGAAGCTTTCACAGAAGCTCGTGGTGCCCGGCCAGGGGTACAAAAAGTCATGGTAGTTGTAACTGATGGAGAATCTCATGACAACTTCCGATTAAAAAAAGTGATTGAGGATTGTGAAGAAGATAATATAAAGAGATTTTCTATTGCTGTAAGTGTTATTTAGTAGAAAAACCTAGATTGTATATCTAGAAATGGTTCTTCTTCCCCTTTCCTCCAATTTGCCTTGACAAAAGAATCCTTTTTTGATGAATTAGTACTCTTCCAATATTAGGTATATGCTAATTTTATTCATTACACATTGGATCCATATTCATGTCTAAAGTGCATGTTGATTCTTCTTTTAATAACAATGATGTGTTCTTCCATTTCTCTTTGACTGCTGAGAAAAAGCAATGCTTTGGGGAAATTGTTGCTGGAAGATTACACAGGTCAGACCTAAGTGTTTTGCATAAGTATTTTTTTTTTATTAGATGTATATCTCACTTTTTGTACAGTAGGTCAAGATACATACATAGAGGACCCCCTCTATTTTCCTCCATAACAACAACTTTGTGAGGTAGGTTGGGCTAAGAGAAAGCACCTGGTCACCCATTGAGTTTCCATGGCTCAGGGTGGATTAGAATCTGGGTCTTCTCATTCCTAATCCAAAATCTTAATGCTTGCTTTAAAAAAACAATACTTTCAGGTTACTAGTTTATATAACTACATGTAATGGAATCAGTGAGTTTGGGGAACTGGTTTTTCAAATATGGTGATATTCTACCAGGCAATAATAATTCTGTGTTTAATCTATATAGAGTTGGTCAGGAAGATCTCTTCCGTAAGTAAAGTAAGAACCTATTTCAGAAAGTGATATGGTTAGCCCATGTAATTTTTTTCATAATGTGGATGTTATTCAACATGTATAGAGATTGTGGCTTCCAGAGTCCATAATACATATTGTTTGGGAATTCTGGGTCTTATCATCCTAACAAAATTGGAAGGCACCAGATTAGAGAAGGTCATCCTAGATTTTTCTTATGGTAGGAAGCTTCTCTTAGTCCAGATCTGAATGCTGTTAGTCTGGGCTAACTACTACCAATTTATTCTAGAGGCCAAAGTCCATGACAGCTTTGCAGACTGTGCCTTCTTATGTTTCTTACATGTTACCAATTGTGAGCTACTGGTAACATGTAGATCACTGCTTTTTAAAATTGTTTCTTGATTTTTTTTTTCCCCACGTGCCACAGATTCTTGGCCACTATAACAGAGGAAATCGAAGCACTGAGAAATTAGTAGAGGAAATCAAATCCATTGCGAGCTTGCCAACTGAAAAGCATTTCTTTAATGTCTCAAACGAATTAGCTCTGCTTACAATTGTTGAAGCTCTTGGAGAGAGAATATTTGCCTTGGAAGGTATGGGTTTTTTCCCCCTGCTTCTGGTGTTTTATTTATTTTATTAATATATTTTTGTTTGTTTGTAGAAAACAAATAATAATTGCTGTGTCAGGCCAGATACCTAATCCGTTTATAGAATAATCCTAACTCTAAATCCATTGGCTAGAGGAATTAATATTGGAGCAGACTGGAAGTTCTGGGAAGTGTGTGTTTGTGGTGGTAGCACCCACAAAATAAGTTTTCCTGGGAACATTTGGAAGCATGGACACCCACTGGGGGACAAGGGGGGCAAATGATAGCAATACAGCATGGCATCATGAGGCTTAAGAGGAGCAACTGGTCCAAAGTCATCCAGTGAGATTCCAGAGCTGAGGGTGAACTAGAACTGGAATCTCCCTGCTCCTAGTTCTTGAACACTAACCCACACTGGCTTATTAGACTTTTTTTCTGCCTTTTGGCATATATAAACAACAAAGCACACCTTTATTTTACAGTAGCCACGCACTGTGCAGAATTAGTGAGTCGGCGAAAGAAAAACGCTTCTCCCTCTCTCCCAAAATTGTGATATGAAGGTAGGGTTTGGGAATGAGCCAAGACTAGCCTCCTAGATCTCAAATGGATTCTTAACTGGGATGATCTGTGACAACAGAAATTGTGATGGGAATGTGCATGCAGGGTTTCCATTAATGAGGAGGATTGTTAAATCTGCTGTGTAGATTAATCTGTAGATTAATGTCTTGAGTTAGTTACTTGTTACTGTGCTTAAATCTTCTTCAGCTGTAAAACCATCCTTGTCCTCTCTATATAGTACACTTTATGGTGAATCACATGTATTAAATCCTCTAGGGTTCATGCTAATTTGGGAATTCTAGGAGTTGCAGTCCTAATCATCTGAAGGGTGTCATGTTGGGGAAGAATGAGGCCTTTATCTTAGGCCCTGTCCTCAAGTCTTCCCACTGAGAAGCTTCTGCCTTTATAACCTCTCAGATGGTGCCCTTCCTTGCATTTGGTCCACTTTCCTCCCATGCTGCACTGTGTTACAATTAGGGCCTAATTGTATCATTTATGACTCAGATTCAGGTCAAAAAATGTGTAACATAAGCGCCCTGACACTTATCATAATACCAACTCATACATGAGAATTGATAGACTTCCTGCCTCCCTTCCTCTCTTTTTCTGGAATTATAATTTTTACAAAACCAAACTGATATCTTTTCATCTGAGGTTCTGAGTTTGCTGTCACTTAAACTGTGACATGTTCCATATTAGCCAGTTTCCTATATTCGGTTGTTCTTAATCCTTTACAATCCCTATCCATATCCTGTCCTTCATTTATAAACTATCTTGGCAGCAAGAAGATTGCTTCCGTCTTCTCTGTAGCACTTAATGCACTAGAGATGCTTTAAAACGTTAGGCAGCAATCCAAATAATGTGTAAGTGATTATATTCCCTAGCAAGGAAAACATCTGTGTATACTTCACATTTATACTTAAATGTGTCAGTCTTTTCTGAATAATCAAACTAAGCTTTATGGATAACACAACCATGAGTGCCAGGAAACGATAAATATAAAAATGTGCTCATTAAAATATATGAATTGCCATTTTATTGCTAATATTGGATTATCCACCTTATTCAAGTGGTAAGATTTTTATGAAAACCATGTTTGCACCCAATGGCTTCTCAGTATTGCAGTTTATCTCAATTAAGGGATATATATTGCCCCTGTTTTCTGAAAAATAATCATTGTCTTGTTTATAAACATGGGCTGCATTCCAAGGAAGTTATATATGCACAAAAGGGAAAGCAACACAAGTAGCCTCAGATTTCCACGCAATTTCCATATTGTGTGAAGAGAAAAATACATGTTTAACTAAACCATGGCCAGATTTTTTAGCAGCATGATGTAATGCCATGGGAATTTCTGACAAATCTCTGACTTAATATACAGGATTCTGTTTGTATATATTCAGGTGTACTGTAGCTTCTAGGTTAAATGTTGATGTATATGTTTATTCCTGCAATTTATAGAACAGTTCTAAAAAATTAAAAAAGAAGCTCTAAGCAGCTTACAATAACTCAAGAGTAAAATAAAGATAATTAAAAGAAAATAATCATCATCCCCCAAACTCAGAAGCAACAAGTGCCTACTTCAATTACCATCAATCTCCAAAGCTTTCTAGAACAGCCAACTTTTAAGAGTTTTGCTGAATGCCAACAGGTTTGGAGGTGATCTGACATCAGGTGGACCACTGTTCCAAGGGCAGCTATAGAAAAGGCATGCCCTTATTTTCCTTGTTGAAGTTCCTACTAGATCTTATTGGACAGGTAGAAACTGCTGGGAGAAGATGGTCCTGCACATAACTAGAACCTGAGCCATGTGGATCTTTAAAAGTGACAACCAGCACCTTGAATTGCACCTGGAAGCCAACTGGCAACCAATGCAGCTCTTGCAGTAGTGACTCAGGGGGTGCCCTTAACTACTGGAGGTGCTGCATTCTAGACCAACTGTAGCTTCTATGTGGTCTTCAAAGGCATCCCTGTGTACAGCAAGTTACAATAGTCTAATCAAGAGGTGATCAAGGTATGAGTGACTGTGACATGGCCTATAGAAACCTTCCTGAAATTGGAAATAAATTCCACTGAATGTAATTGGGCTTGTTCTTGAGTAGACATGGAAAAGGTCTGTGAAAATATTGAAAAGGTAAAACCATGTGACCCAATCCTTGATGAACTAGTGCAGTCACACTAGCCATTACTGTACTGATAGTAACTTCAAAGATGGATTTACTGCTAAAGGTACCAATTCAAAACAATTACTACTTCTGAAGTATCCTTCTCTGGAAATTAGAAGAAACTGACCTTTCTTGGCTGCCTACCTTTTGAAGGGATTGTTCATTTTTCCAGGATGACCCTAAGCCCCTTTTATGAGTAGAGAAATAAAAGGGAGCGTGGCCCTCAGCCAAAAAACCTTGCTCATGCCCAAAGGCTTCCTTTATTCATTGAATGTATGAATCATATTTATCTTGAATCAAGTGTGCCTAATGTTCTCAAATCAATACAAAAAATGTGTCTGACTAATTTCTACGTTTCATTTCTACATTATGGAAGGAAAAACTCAAAGCCATCAATGTGAGTTTTCTTTCATCATGGTCTTGGGTCCCCTGGGACCTTTAGATCACAGAGAGATAACAGAGAAATGCTGAAGACAGAGGCTGTGGGTGTCAGTGAAAGAGAGTTGAGCTGAGTTGGAGAGCTGGAGTAGGTGAAACTGAGCCTAAACAGTTTGGTGGAATGAGCAATGAGGCTCTGAAGCTGACCCAGCAGGAGTGAGAAACAGCAGAGCCCAACAGCAATCCAAAGATGCGGACCAGCCACAGCCAGCCCCCAGTAATTGCTTTTTTCCCTCCTCCTATAAACTGATAAAGACTGAGAGACTGACACACAATTCAGTAAAAGGGAGCAATTACTGGACAACTCCAGCCTGCAGCAGTATGGGGGCTGGAGAATGGAGAAAAGTATAGGGCAGTGTTGTCCAAACTTGGCCACTTTAAGATGAGTGGACTTCAACTCCCAGAATTCCCCAGCCAGCCAGTCTTTGAAAGTTCTTTTGAAAGTGAATAGATCTGTTTTAGCCTTTTAAGAAAAGAAATTATAGCTTCGTTTCTTTCTTTTATTGATAATCCAGTTACTTTACCAGTTTATTGTGAGAAACCATCAGATTTTATATGATGCAAAATTACCTTGGGCTAAACAGGGACTTCAGGTAATTTATAGTGGAATAAAGCAGTAATGTGTTATAATTTGTTGTCATTTGGGAGTCAGGGAAATCGGATTTTGCAGTGATTCATCAAGCTTCAAAAACTGCAGAACTAGCAATTTGCTTGTCTGACAATGCACATACCTTAGTTTCCCCAACCAGTGTCTTCCAGATGGATTAAGACTTTCACTCCCAGCTAGTGTGGCCTGGCTGTGAATGCTGGGAATTGCAGTCTTAGTACATCTGTTAAGTTGGGGAAGAGTGGTTGTAGATATCTTTACTTCACAGTGAAGCATTATATTGATTTTAATAACTTCCTTCTAAACACATTACAGAATGTTCTCAGAAAAAAATAGAATGGGAGGGTAAATCACTTTCTCAGAATATATTTGATATGAACGCCAAACTGATACAGCAACTTCTATTCATTGAGGGTGAAAATCTTTTCTGTTTCTTAACCATTTCTTATGCAGCAGCCTGTTTTGTAGTTCTCCAGCCAGAATGTTTTCATCACCATTTGCCCACATAAAGCAGCGAACCCAGTCAAAGGAAGGATCTGGATTTGGCTTCCCCTCACCTTAATGTCCCTCAGGAAAGTTTGTCAGGAGTTTCACCTCAGATAGTACAGATGCAGGTTTAATATAGAGAGGTAACAGTAAGTGAGACAAAACAACTCCCAGCACACACCATTTTATTTTATGTATTATTAGATATATTCCCCACCATTATGCTTATGTAAATATTTGAGGCAGCTTATAACAAATATCAGTCACTAGTTGAGTCATGGCCACTTTAGTACAATATTCCAGTGAGGGGATGAAACCAGATTAGGGTCAAACTTTGGGCCTGCCAGAATGGAGTTTCAGGGGCTGCCCACATAGGATGCTAGGTGATCTATCTGATGGTTCTCCCTCAAGCCGTCTAGTTGGGTTCAAAGGGTTTTTCAAAATCTTTTGTAGGCAGAGAAATTGGCCAGGTGAGGTCCCCAATTTTTTTCTAGAAGAAGGAGAAATGATCTCAACAATTTCTCCATGGCAGGATTCACGTCCCTGATGACAGTAGCCCCTTTACTGGAAAAAACCCTATAGAAGTGGTTTCCTCCTGATGTTGTCTCTTGGGAAGGCAGGGAGGCTGCAGACAACTGGAGAGATAATTGTATGATATTCACACATATACAGCTTTTGCTCATACTCCAGTCATTAGAATTACACTGAAATTCTTTGAAAACAATGTTTAGTTTGAAGGAAGCCTGATAGAAAAAGATAGTTTACTGCCAATGTTAGCATGAACCTTGAGGGTCTTCATTTCCAAAAGAAGCCTGAGGCAGAACCAGCCTTAGGTTAAAACTATAATAAACATCATCTAAAACAAATATTTCAAAGTTAATTTAACATCCAGGGAATTTCAAGGATGGTAAGACTTACTGCATGCTGCAACAAGTGAAAACTTTGGTATAAATTTGTGCTTTTCTGATGAACTAAATGTTTCATCTAAGCAGTGTGCATGTGGAAAATTGTGGCCTCCAAGCTAGATGTGACCCTAGCCATATCTACAGTAGGTAATTATGGACTCAGAATACCACACTTACTTCTCCAGATATGTACTAATCATCCATCTAAATATTTCATTCATTGTTCAATCTGGACATTCCTAACTCTTAATCTAGTGTTTCTCCTTTTTCCAATTCTTATAGTCATAGTAGCATTTTCAACCATGTATGCTAGAACATAAAACATTTCCTGTTTTACAGCGACCAATGATCAACTGGCAGCCTCTTTTGAAATGGAAATGTCTCAAGTTGGTTTCAGTGCCCATTATTCTCAGGTAAAGTAACTAGATTGAACTGGAAAGAAAAGAAGCTGGGTATGTTATACTTCTTCCACAGAAAGAAATGTTACGATATGTTTTGCTAATCAATTAAAAAAAATTATGAACTGCAAGAACTTTTGACTTAATTATTGAAAGTACATTGTTCTTATGGAGTTCCACTGAATATCAGAGCAATCCAAAATATGCTAAAGGAATATGCTGATGTGACATTTCAATCAAACTTTGATTCAACATTTTAGGATTAATTTGAACAGAATGCATGGAACGGGATGATATCACCCATCAGATTAAACTAAAAAGGGAAAAGGAAAACTGCTGTTCAGAAATGTCTCATATTTACCAAAAAATGTTGAGGGATTTCCATCTAAAGATGCCGATTATGAACCTACTAAACATTTGGAACAAATATATGCTGGCATACCGAATTCTGAATTCATCTTTTATTTTTTCAGTTTTGTTATGCTTATGTATCAAATACTGATGCTTTATTAAATGTGAAGAGTGAGATATTTATTCAATAAGAAGAGATAAAGAATCTATAGGTTACTGAAGATCAAGATACATGACTGGGTTGTCCTACCTTAGTCTGCCCATGAGCTGGTTGCCCAGGATAGTCCCCTTTTTTGATTTGTGCCACAGATAAATCCATCCAAGTATATAGTAATACAGTGATTTCTCTGCTATGTTTGTAAAGGACTGGATCATGCTTGGAGCAGTTGGGGCATATGACTGGAATGGAACTGTTGTCATGTTAAAGGATAGCAATTTACTAATACCGACAAGTAATGCATTTGATAATAAATTTTCAGAAAGAAATGAAACTCTTGCAGCTTACTTAGGTGAGTAAAATTAGCTGCTGATTGTCCTAGTCTTACAATAATCTGTGCCAGTCCAAAGTGCTTTATTCAACGGTAGTTTTCCCAACCTGATGTAAATGGCCTTATTGTACACTGGATCCAGAGAATGGAAGACCTTCTATTAGAAGGCACTTCCTTCTAAGGACAAAATACTTCTTCTTTTTATTTTTATTTATTTCTCTAATTAAATTTAGGAAATTAAATGTAAAAATGCCAATGCGCTTAACTAATTCAAGACGCCTCCTAAAATTCTTGCCAATTTACTCCAACAGCCATATTGTAGTTTAGATCTGTTCTAGATAATCTATGCCAATCGATGGACTTCTTCTGACCAAAATAGTAATCTTCCAGATTAATCCTTTCTAAAACATGCCACCCCAATGTAGTCCTTTTGGAATATGGATATCTCAGACGGACAATGGCCAGAGGTGGATGACAAAGCTGTTAAAAAGAATTATTAAAATATGATAAATAGATTGCAGAGAAGCTGAATGAATACTTGTGGCTATATTCACTGTAGAAGAAGCTATGGATACCATGTCTAAGTAGATATTTGCAGGAAGCCCTTAAGGGTAAAACAGATCAGGAAACAAATGCCACAGGAAGACTACAATTATATGTATTGAGATAGGCTATAATAACAGAACTTTTCAGGCCTGATTATGCCTTGCCTTACCTCCCCTCCCTCTTATATCCCAGTGAATCAGGGAGAAGTCTGCTTGAGTCTTTTCCAAATACTATCATGTTTCCCAGGACTTAAGGAATGTGTCAGCCCTCTTTGCTTAAGTAACAGTTCTTGCCTATTTCTGTCAAGGTCAGCCCCCCAGATTCTCTACACCTAAATAAGATATTAAGTCTTAGATTTTCCCACAAATTGAAAGCGAACAATGAATCTACATGTTCTCCAGCTAGGAGTTCTTAAATAACTTAATGTAAAATTGCTGGTGTGTTACATTAATAGCCTTATGGAACACCAAAAGCATAGAGGACAATCTGATCCCAGGGGATACTATCTCAGAAAATACAGGCAGCCCAGGATCTCTTTAGCTGACATTCCATAAGGATAGGGAACCAAAGGGAGCCCTTAGATCTTAGTGGACAGACAGAGCCCATTGGGAGAAGGTAAATGTTCCTAAGATCAGCTTCTGAACCAGATAACTAAAATGTGGACAATACATCTTTCCCCAATCTGGATTTCAACTCTCAGAATCCCCCAGCCAGCTTAGAATTCTGGAAGCTGACAATCATACATCTGGAAGACACCTATTGGGAAGGGTGGTATAACAGGAATTCTTAAATAAGGATCCCTGGGAAATCCAGAAATATCTGTTCTGTGAAAATTGGTGGAAACTATTTCTACAGATAAGCACAAAGAACGGGAGAAATTTTGCTTAAGAAGAATCAATGTTCTTTCTGCCAAATCCCTTTCAGATTTTGTGGGGTGGATTGGGGTTCAAAAAAGCTTAGGAATATAGGCTTTAACATAAGTGTATGCATTTAAAGCAAAAGTAGCTATTATGTGCTATGATGAGTGTTATGTCTCTAATTCCTTAGGTTATACAGTCAATTCAGCCTCTGTACCTGGAGATCTGCTATACATTGCAGGACAACCTCGTTATAATCACACCGGTCAAGTTATCATATATAGGATGAGGGGCACTGAAATAGAAATACTTCAGAAATTAAGTGGTGAACAGGTAAGTGTGCATTATGACACTAATCTACTGCTGGAAAGTCCTCCATTGAGGGAAAAAAATCAATAAGCACATCCCCACCTACATCTCCATTTTTAATGTTAATTGATGACAAAAGTTCATAGCAATTATAATAATTAAATTATGTGCACCCCATGTTTACTCCTGAAAAGAATTGCAAGTAAAGATTTCATTCAGAGCTATTACAGCAACTGTCAATGATTGTATATCTTGTTTAATAATTACTAATACTTATGCTTTAAGTTCCTTTATAGGAATATTGGGAAATTTTAGTTTGTCTGCATTTTTAAGAAACTGAATATATTTGCCCTTTCCAACTACTGTTTTATGATGCAATTTCTCAGTTCAAAAATTCCATGTTAAAAATGTGTATGTTAAGGAAAGCTGCACGTAAAATGAGTGCATAACAAAACTTGCATGCAAAACTAAATGCAGCTACTCCAGCAAACTGCAGTGTGTTATATTTGAAGGAAGGCATTTTTGTTTGAGAGCACTGAAACAAGAACATGTATAGACTGAACTTTACCTCTGCACTTATTTGACTTGTGGATTATGCTTTTGTATCTCTTAATGTTCTGATTTTAGTAACAGGCAAAATCAGTTTAGATGCTAAAATAGGGGCCTGCTCTCAGCCTAGTTTCTTGGGGTTATGAAGCATGTGCCACGTGGGGCAGAATAACCCCATGTCTTTAATAATTCCTAGTGTTCTAACCTACATTCTTTAGTCTCTGACCAATGGCCTCCAGAATACTTTATCTATTCCCCCTGCCCCTCCCATACATCTATTTCCCAATATTAAAGGCGATACACAACCCATACAAAATTATGGATTATATTACTTAGCAAAGTGGGGGAAGGGGGGATTAAGTAATGCAGCATTTTCTTTCCTTGGTGGCCACCTGTTGATTTTTTTTTCCTAAACCAGAAATAAATTTGCTCCCCCCCCCCCCCCCCCCCCCCC